GGTGAATGAAGAATGTGAATTTTACAGTAGAATGCGAATTGGGGAAGAAAGCTAAGAATTTCGCATTTTTATTATACAAATTGATTGATTGATTGATTTGTCTTAATTGTTAATTGCGATATATGAAATACTTATCAAGTTAGGGGCAATATGGTCATTTTGAAGTAAAAGAAGCCTTGGTTATTAAATGAATCATACGAAGGATCTGTTATTTGATTTTGGAATTGGGGCGAATAATCGAACGATTTGGAGTTGCGAATTTGATTTTGAAAAGCCAATCAGTTGGGTTCGCATATGAAAACAGATAAGTTTTGATTTTGGATTAGCAATTGGGTTAATTGGGTTATTGATTGAGGGACGATTCGTGAAGAAAAATGCGAAGTCAAGAAGGACTGTGAAATGTGATTTGTTCAATATTGGAGTCAAATGCAGTTCACGTGTAAAAGCAAAAATGTTCGCATTTGGTAATACAAATCAAAATTGGGTTTCGCATATGAGGTTGTATGGATTGGGGTTAAAGATGCGAAGGTGATTATGGTTAATATTCATTTCGTATTTGGTGAGACAAACAACTCAAATGCGAATGAACTAAAAAAAAATGACTGGAACATGCGAAGAAAGAGGGTGAATGAAGAATGTGAATTTTACAGTAGAATGCGAATTGGGGAAGAAAGCTAAGAATTTCGCATTTTTATTATACAAATTGATTGATTGATTGATTTGTCTTAATTGTTAATTGCGATATATGAAATACTTATCAAGTTAGGGGCAATATGGTCATTTTGAAGTAAAAGAAGCCTTGGTTATTAAATGAATCATACGAAGGATCTGTTATTTGATTTTGGAATTGGGGCGAATAATCGAACGATTTGGAGTTGCGAATTTGATTTTGAAAAGCCAATCAGTTGGGTTCGCATATGAAAACAGATAAGTTTTGATTTTGGATTAGCAATTGGGTTAATTGGGTTATTGATTGAGGGACGATTCGTGAAGAAAAATGCGAAGTCAAGAAGGACTGTGAAATGTGATTTGTTCAATATTGGAGTCAAATGCAGTTCACGTGTAAAAGCAAAAATGTTCGCATTTGGTAATACAAATCAAAATTGGGTTTCGCATATGAGGTTGTATGGATTGGGGTTAAAGATGCGAAGGTGATTATGGTTAATATTCATTTCGTATTTGGTGAGACAAACAACTCAAATGCGAATGAACTAAAAAAAAATGACTGGAACATGCGAAGAAAGAGGGTGAATGAAGAATGTGAATTTTACAGTAGAATGCGAATTGGGGAAGAAAGCTAAGAATTTCGCATTTTTATTATACAAATTGATTGATTGATTGATTTGTCTTAATTGTTAATTGCGATATATGAAATACTTATCAAGTTAGGGGCAATATGGTCATTTTGAAGTAAAAGAAGCCTTGGTTATTAAATGAATCATACGAAGGATCTGTTATTTGATTTTGGAATTGGGGCGAATAATCGAACGATTTGGAGTTGCGAATTTGATTTTGAAAAGCCAATCAGTTGGGTTCGCATATGAAAACAGATAAGTTTTGATTTTGGATTAGCAATTGGGTTAATTGGGTTATTGATTGAGGGACGATTCGTGAAGAAAAATGCGAAGTCAAGAAGGACTGTGAAATGTGATTTGTTCAATATTGGAGTCAAATGCAGTTCACGTGTAAAAGCAAAAATGTTCGCATTTGGTAATACAAATCAAAATTGGGTTTCGCATATGAGGTTGTATGGATTGGGGTTAAAGATGCGAAGGTGATTATGGTTAATATTCATTTCGTATTTGGTGAGACAAACAACTCAAATGCGAATGAACTAAAAAAAAATGACTGGAACATGCGAAGAAAGAGGGTGAATGAAGAATGTGAATTTTACAGTAGAATGCGAATTGGGGAAGAAAGCTAAGAATTTCGCATTTTTATTATACAAATTGATTGATTGATTGATTTGTCTTAATTGTTAATTGCGATATATGAAATACTTATCAAGTTAGGGGCAATATGGTCATTTTGAAGTAAAAGAAGCCTTGGTTATTAAATGAATCATACGAAGGATCTGTTATTTGATTTTGGAATTGGGGCGAATAATCGAACGATTTGGAGTTGCGAATTTGATTTTGAAAAGCCAATCAGTTGGGTTCGCATATGAAAACAGATAAGTTTTGATTTTGGATTAGCAATTGGGTTAATTGGGTTATTGATTGAGGGACGATTCGTGAAGAAAAATGCGAAGTCAAGAAGGACTGTGAAATGTGATTTGTTCAATATTGGAGTCAAATGCAGTTCACGTGTAAAAGCAAAAATGTTCGCATTTGGTAATACAAATCAAAATTGGGTTTCGCATATGAGGTTGTATGGATTGGGGTTAAAGATGCGAAGGTGATTATGGTTAATATTCATTTCGTATTTGGTGAGACAAACAACTCAAATGCGAATGAACTAAAAAAAAATGACTGGAACATGCGAAGAAAGAGGGTGAATGAAGAATGTGAATTTTACAGTAGAATGCGAATTGGGGAAGAAAGCTAAGAATTTCGCATTTTTATTATACAAATTGATTGATTGATTGATTTGTCTTAATTGTTAATTGCGATATATGAAATACTTATCAAGTTAGGGGCAATATGGTCATTTTGAAGTAAAAGAAGCCTTGGTTATTAAATGAATCATACGAAGGATCTGTTATTTGATTTTGGAATTGGGGCGAATAATCGAACGATTTGGAGTTGCGAATTTGATTTTGAAAAGCCAATCAGTTGGGTTCGCATATGAAAACAGATAAGTTTTGATTTTGGATTAGCAATTGGGTTAATTGGGTTATTGATTGAGGGACGATTCGTGAAGAAAAATGCGAAGTCAAGAAGGACTGTGAAATGTGATTTGTTCAATATTGGAGTCAAATGCAGTTCACGTGTAAAAGCAAAAATGTTCGCATTTGGTAATACAAATCAAAATTGGGTTTCGCATATGAGGTTGTATGGATTGGGGTTAAAGATGCGAAGGTGATTATGGTTAATATTCATTTCGTATTTGGTGAGACAAACAACTCAAATGCGAATGAACTAAAAAAAAATGACTGGAACATGCGAAGAAAGAGGGTGAATGAAGAATGTGAATTTTACAGTAGAATGCGAATTGGGGAAGAAAGCTAAGAATTTCGCATTTTTATTATACAAATTGATTGATTGATTGATTTGTCTTAATTGTTAATTGCGATATATGAAATACTTATCAAGTTAGGGGCAATATGGTCATTTTGAAGTAAAAGAAGCCTTGGTTATTAAATGAATCATACGAAGGATCTGTTATTTGATTTTGGAATTGGGGCGAATAATCGAACGATTTGGAGTTGCGAATTTGATTTTGAAAAGCCAATCAGTTGGGTTCGCATATGAAAACAGATAAGTTTTGATTTTGGATTAGCAATTGGGTTAATTGGGTTATTGATTGAGGGACGATTCGTGAAGAAAATGCGAAGTCAAGAAGGACTGTGAAATGTGATTTGTTCAATATTGGAGTCAAATGCAGTTCACGTGTAAAAGCAAAAATGTTCGCATTTGGTAATACAAATCAAAATTGGGTTTCGCATATGAGGTTGTATGGATTGGGGTTAAAGATGCGAAGGTGATTATGGTTAATATTAATTTCGCATTTGGTGAGACAAACAACTCAAATGCGAATGAACTAAAAAAAAAATGACTGGAACATGCGAAGAAAGAGGGTGAATGAAGAATGTGAATTTTACAGTAGAATGCGAATTGGGGAAGAAAGCTAAGAATTTCGCATTTTTATTATACAAATTGATTAATTGATTGATTTGTCTTAATTGTTAATTGCGATATATGAAATACTTATCAAGTTAGGGGCAATATGGTCATTTTGAAGTAAAAGAAGCCTTGGTTATTAAATGAATCATACGAAGGATCTGTTATTTGATTTTGGAATTGGGGCGAATAATCGAACGATTTGGAGTTGCGAATTTGATTTTGAAAAGCCAATCAGTTGGGTTCGCATATGAAAACAGATAAGTTTTGATTTTGGATTCGCAATTGGGTTAATTGTGTTATTGATTGAGGAATGGCGGATGTGGATCGAACTGAAGGAGTCGGAGTTAATCAAAATAAAAGATGAAAACATTTATTTGCAAAGAGACAATTTAAAGCTTTTGAAACAGCGAAATGTTTTTTGTTTGATTGCCAAACGTCTTTATACAAATATTACTCAGCTTCATTTGAATTGGGTTAATTGGGTTATTGATTGAGGGACGATTCGTGAAGAAAAATGCGAAGTCAAGAAGGACTGTGAAATGTGATTTGTTCAATATTGGAGTCAAATGCAGTTCACGTGTAAAAGCAAAAATGTTCGCATTTGGTAATACAAATCAAAATTGGGTTTCGCATATGAGGTTGTATGGATTGGGGTTAAAGATGCGAAGGTGATTATGGTTAATATTCATTTCGTATTTGGTGAGACAAACAACTCAAATGCGAATGAACTAAAAAAAAAAATGACTGGAACATGCGAAGAAAGAGGGTGAATGAAGAATGTGAATTTTACAGTAGAATGCGAATTGGGGAAGAAAGCTAAGAATTTCGCATTTTTATTATACAAATTGATTGATTGATTGATTTGTCTTAATTGTTAATTGCGATATATGAAATACTTATCAAGTTAGGGGCAATATATTTTATTTGAGTTATAACCAAAATCAACTAACTTGTCCAATTTAAAACAATAAAAGTATCCAAAAATATTCAAAACCAATAATATTTGACATCCTAAATACCCCAAAATAAAAATCATACCAAGCAATTAAAATATCTTTATAACCAAAACAAATGATCAAAATATATTAAATGTCTCTTATAACCGATAGAAACTCACTTTTCAATTTTTGGAATCAAGAGTGGAGTTTCCTCTGCGGTTGACTTTCTTTTAGCCTTAGTTGAACTTAAATCATATCCAGAATCAACATCATAAATTTATTGGAGGTTGCGCTTCAAATCACCTGATATTTTGCAAGGACTTGTTGCGGTTGACTTATCAACTGTTGAGGGTGTAAAACTTTCGTCTGTTTGTGAGATCACATCCTAATTTTTAAAAAAAAAATGTTTAATTCCTAAAAAAAATAACTAATATAATTAAAAGTTTATAAAATAAAATGAAAAACCTTTTGAACAGGCTGTACAACATCATCGGATTCCAAAGCAATTTGATTTAAGGAGACAGATTGATTACTCTAAAAAATAAAATGGAAATATGTTAATCGTTATGTACTTTAACATTAAAGAATTGTAAATTTTCAACAATAAAAAATTACATACCATAAGTTCTATTTTACTTTCCAATTCACAAACAATGGACATATCTTCTGTAACTCTGAGAACTGTGTAGATGTTATTATAGTTGTTGACATTGTATTCTGTAATATCTACAACAAAACCAAACTTGCGGTTTTTCAACACATTAAGTTGCATTGGAAATAGGGCATCACTGTCTCCGGTCTGTAAGATATATTTTAATAAATTAAAAAAATTAAGTAAATGTTTTCTGATTTTAAAGGTATGAATAATATACCGCATCATGTATCTTTTTCAACTCGTAGGCACTTATATTTAACAACCTCCTTGCTTCCCTATCAAAAAGAGTCAATCCAATGGTTCCAGTACAATCTTGTACGTTAATTGAAATTATATACCTAAAACAAAAAATAATTATGTCATTGTTAGTGTGGTTTTAAGATTGACAAAATTAATAGAAATAAATATGTCTATACTTTATAACTGACTGGAATTCAGATTTTTTGCATTGTGCATTTGTGCACTCGACAACCATAGTTTCTGAAATTCCCTCAGGGTTGGTATACGAATGATTGGTTTTGGGAACAGGGATAATTTTTTTTCCACATTTTTTGCATGCTTCATAATACCATGGTAGATTCTGCCTTATATTAACAACGGAAGCAACTAATAAAAACTTCATTTCCTGTATCATATAAAATGTAAAAATTATTAAAATAAATTATGCAAAAATAAAATGTAAAACATATAAAATAATGCAATATACCTTAATTGGTTCGGTGATCTCACAGATTGTTTTTAATGGAAAATTGCCCTTAAAGTCATCTGTATATGAAGAAGAGTAGCTTTGAAGTGTAGTTATGCTTTTTTTAGTTATACCGAAATTGTCATGACATTTCAACCTGTAATGTTTAATTTAGATTCATGAATATTAGGTTTTGTGTTTTTTTAAGTTAAAATACATTACAAAAAAAAAAAAAAAAACAATTGGAAACTAACTTATTTTTAAACTCATTTATTTCATAAATGTCAGAATTTATGAACAATTTCGTTACTTCAAAATGACTTTTAGCTTCACCAAGACCTGTAAAAAATGTATATCCAATTATTAAAATTTATATAAAAACAGTAATTATAAACATCTATATATAAAGACTGAATACAAACCATTCCAAATGTTTAGCTTCAAAAACTGCATCACGATAACAACAAAATTAACAGTTGGGTTATTTTTTAGGTATTCTGAAATTTGATATGCTTGACTTCCAAAAATAGTAACCTTCAGATGTACAGAACTAAATAAACCATAAAATAGTATATTAATATTAATTTGTGATTAATTAAAGATAATAAATAATACAATATAATCTCACTCTAGGTTGCTAAGAGTGACTTTTATATAATGCTTGGATGGTACTGAATTTGAAGTTTCAAGAGGCCTAAATGACACGATATGTCCAATAACATCTACACAACAGATACCACAAAAAAATAAAAGTTTAGGATTAAATTCGTAATATTTAAATAATAAAATGTATAACCAAAAAAACAAATGACCATATTGCCAATCAGTTGGGTTCGTATATGAAAACAGATAAGTTTTGATTTTATAGAATAAATTTAATGACCATATTGCCAATCAGTTGGGTTCGCATATGAATTCCATTTTCTGCAATAAATTTAATCATTATAGAATTGTAAGGAAAATTAGCAACCTTTTAAATTAACAGCAAATCAAAGTAAATGAAACAGCAAAACAAAAAAAACATATTGTAATAGTTAAAGCTTTGAAGAACAGTTTTTTTTAAAGAAAATAAAGTTCTCATTTTTATTACTAATTTCGTATTTTGTAATCATTTTCATTAACATTTACGTCTTTTAAACTGAAAAGGTAGAAGAAGAACATGATTAAGAAGAATTAGCAAAAGGAAGAAGAAGAACATCACTAATAAAATGAAAAATGATAGAAACTGGTAAATCAGACAATTAAGAGGTTAGAAATATTAGTAATGCTGATATTTTAATACACTAACCTGATATTATAATTTTTGAAGCGTTGCAGAATCAAGAAGAATGAAGAAGAATACGTTTGCAAATATTACTATGGAGCAGAATTCGTCTGGAGCAGAATGGTAAAAAGAAAATAACCGTATGAATGCTATTTACGTTTGAATAAATAAGAATAAGAATTAAGAAGATTACGTTTGAAAAAGAATAATATTGCAGATTTTTAGGGATTTAATTTGCAATCAAAATAAACAAACTTTCAAAATTAATGCGTGTTTTTCGAATCTGAAGATTGATTAACATATTTGTTTGCATATTTTTCCGGAGTTATTGAATTTGGATTGTATGGCATTTACGTAAATATAGATGAATAAAATGAGCGGGAAAACTCTATTTTGGAGGTCTTATAGATTGACACGTGGCAGAGTTCTACTTATTTATTAGAATTAGGATGTTTAATTAGGGGGTGTTTGGGATAACATACTTATTAACTTATACCAGGTTGCCACCCCAAATAAACATATTTTAGAGTTTGGATTGGTAAAAATTATACAATAAGTTGGTTTTTTCTTACTTATTTGAAATTCTTTAAACAGTAAACCAAATGACTTTTTTATCCACATCTTAACCTAATACTCTATCTATATAATCGTTTATGTATGTCTCTTTACTTGCTTGATTGCACTTGCGGGTCTACTTGGGTGCTTGGATAGCCTAGGCTACCCTCAATTTTTTTTTTTTTTTTGTATAGTGTATTTTTTTTGAAAATTTTTCCGGCATAGTGTAAATTTTCCAACTGCTACCCTAAAATCTAATGTGCTGCCTCTGAGGTTTTGGATCAAAGAAAGAACATTCTTACATGTTATTTTATTTTATACCATCTGTTACATCCTTTGGATATTGGATCAAAGAAAGAACATTCCTACGTGTTATTTTCTTTTATACCATCTGTTACATCCTTTGGGTATTACATCGACGAAAAAAAACATAGTTTTCTTTTCTTGTTACGAGTATTTACATTTCCCTCGTTCATGTATAATTTTCCAATTTTTTTATAACCATTTGTTCTTCGACATAATTGTATGTTGTTCTATATTTTATATCTGTTATTTATCTTATAGAAATATTCATGGATTTGCTAAATATATTTTCTGAAAGTTTTTATGTTAATCTACCCTAATAAATCAACATCTTTTTGACACTTGGCAAATTATTATGCGTTTAGACAAATGGCATTTTCTTAATTTATTACTTTTCAAATATTCCACGTGTAAATGTATTAGAATGCCACATGGAATGCAGGTAAATTGTTGAACACACGTATATCTACTCTACTATAATAATAAAAACATAAATAATAAATAATTTGTTTCCTTAATTAAGTCCTTATACAGAACAACAAACATACGTTTGCCAACTGATTAGCCTTCAATCACGGTGGATTGAAGGATTCGATTTCAAAATCATATCGGTTATGATGTTTGAAGGATTGGCGTTCAGAGCAGAATTCAACGGTGGATTGAAGGATTCGATTTCAAAATCATATCATGGTGGATTCAAGGATTCGATTTTAAAATCATATCAGTTTCTTTCAACATAATCTTCTCTGTGTATGGCCTGTACTTAAATGGAATGTTAACTGGAAATCTATTTAGAATCGCATCAATCATGCGTAATCCTTCGTCCTTTACTTATAGCAGGTAATAATTTCCAAAAATTACTTATTATTACATCTATAATACATTCATGAGTCGTTTCTTTTCAATTTCGTTTATACATGCACGACTCGTCTTCTTCACGCTGGAATCAATTGTCTTTAAGAATCTGCATTACCATCCCAACAACTACATAAGGTTAGTATTATGCCCAGTGATGCATTTCCTTTTATTTTCAATTATTTTCTTTTTTTTTAACACATTGTAACAAGGTCATTTGTATAATGTCCGCCAACTGTTCGATGTAATGCCAACTACCATAAAAAAGCTTTGCTGTTTGCTAGCATGTCTTTAGTTATTGTTTTGATCATCATAAAACAGGGTTATTGAGTTTTTTTGGACTTAAAAAGGGCATTTTTGTCCAAGTAGTTGAATGTGGATATAATACAGAAAAACTAAGTTTTAATGTGCCTGATTGATGACTCTAATCTTCTTGATTTTGGATATTTTTATATTTTGATTTTTTTGATGTTATATTTGAAAAGGTATATATTATAAAGAATCCATTATATAAAATTCATAATTTATTCTAATGATTTCTACATTTTAAGTCTAATTTTGTTTCGTTTACTTTTTTTTTTAGATGGGTGACACTGTTGCTTTTCCTGTTGAGATCAATGAACTTATTGGTAGAAAAATGGCTTTCAAAATTATAGTTAGAGGCTTTACCGCTGGAAGAAAATACATTCGTAGTTACAACATATCAAAGATAAGTGATGATGTTGACATAATTTCTGCACTCGAGAAACTTGAAAAAGCAAACCACATTGAACAGGTATACCTACAAATAAGTCTTAATCCGTCTACAAATTATGTTTTATATACTTGATATTTACCAATCTAAATTGCACTTTACAAACTGTTACATATAGGACACTGAGTCTGTTAATGTCGTGGTCTCAGATTTCAACTCTCAGGATACAATTGGTTTTAAGGTATAATTTCCTACTTTTTTTGCCCTTCACTCATTTTACATTACTCCTAAGTCAATCATTAACATATGTTAATTCTTGCATTTAAGGGTTCTGCTTCCTTCGTTGCTGATAATACTCCTATCTCTACTTTTCCAAATGCCATCTCAATGACTCCATCAACCAACCATGACACCACTAGCCTGCTCTCACCAACTACCAATGTGAAACGTAAACTTGTAGATGTTTACGATCTTGAAGATACTGTTTGTGAGTCATCAACAAAACCTTCAAAAATATCCATTGGAATCAAGGCAACTGTTGCGTCCACCCAACTATTGATTCCTAAAGTCGAGAAGTGAGATCTTATGAACGTTTCAAACAATTTTAAGTTTTTCGTTTTTTATTTATCATTCAAGTCGAACATCAATTTTTAGATTTTATGGTTTGTCAAGAATACTTTCGTAATTGGTTTCACATATTCTGTTTTCTTTATTTTTATGTTAAGAATGGATTTTGAATGAACGTATAGCATTGATGTATCACATAAACTTAATAAAAAATAAAAGATTGATAAGCAGTTAACAAGGTTTGATGTGTTAATTACTATTGAATCTATACAAAACCAGATATTATTGCTTATATTGAGTGAACATATACGATTCTACTTTGTCGTATATAGCATTGATGTATTCTTTTTGTGTTTAAAGTGATAGGAACCATTTACATTAATTACTATTTCTGTGATGCTTTGCTTGATGTGTTAATTACTGTAACTTCTGTAAAGGACGGGGAATTGTTGTGTTCATTCGCATTTCATCGCATTTATACTCTAAGCTTTCTTCCCTAATTCGCATTTATACATTAAAAACTTCGCATTTTCATTCAAATTCTTCGCATCTTGCATCCATCCGTCTTTGAGTTCATTCGCATTTCATCGCATTAACTGAGAAATTAATCAGTTGTCTCATATTCGCATTTCAGTTGTTTGAGAAACCCACTTACGAACCCAAATGCGAAACCCACTGATTTCAAATGTGAACCAACCAAAAATCATCAACCACGTACTTGTGTCACCAAATGCGAACTGAATATCACCATTAAATTCTCCTCGCATTCCATAGATGCGAACACAATCCAGATCTCTGACTCCAAGCTTGCGAAATCAAAATCAATTAACCTCAAACAAATCGTGAACTTCTTATGCGAACTGTTTTGACCCACAAAACCAAATGCGAACTCAATTGATGTCATATGCGAACTGATTTCATAGATGCGAACACAATTGATTTCATATGCGAATCCACATCCATCGATATGAAACCAATACCAGTTACAAGCAATTAGTAGCAACCATCGATCCTCTAATTTTCAATTACTCAGCCTTCGCTTTTCATACAACCCGTCGACCCTGAAAAATCGATAAACACCAAATGTCTCATTTTTAGATCGGATTTTCTGATTAAATGTCATATTTGAAGAATGATCGATTTTCTGATTAAATGACCCCATTTTGCGAAGTTGGACCACTTATATTATTTCTTGAAAAGATCAGGTGCCAAATGCGAAACTCTAAGCTTTCTTCCCCAATTCGCATTTATACATTAAAAACTTCGCATTTTCATTCAAATTAACCCCATCTTGCATCCATCCGTCTTTGAGTTCATTCGCATTTCATCGCATTAACTGAGAAATTAATCAGTTGTCTCATATTCGCATTTCAGTTGTTTGAGAAACCCACTTACGAACCCAAATGCGAAACCCACTGATTTCAAATGTGAACCAACCAAAAATCATCAACCACGTACTTGTGTCACCAAATGCGAACTGAATATCACCATTAAATTCTCCTCGCATTCCATAGATGCGAACACAATCCAGATCTCCGACTCCAAGCTTGCGAAATCAAAAGATTGATAAGCAGTTAACAAGGTTTGATGTGTTAATTACTATTGAATCTATACAAAACCAGATATTATTGCTTATATTGAGTGAACATATACGATTCTACTTTGTCGTATATAGCATTGATGTATTCTTTTTGTGTTTAAAGTGATAGGAACCATTTACATTAATTACTATTTCTGTGATGCTTTGCTTGATGTGTTAATTACTGTAACTTCTGTAAAGGACGGGGAATTGTTGTGTTCATTCGCATTTCATCGCATTTATACTCTAAGCTTTCTTCCCCAATTCGCATTTATACATTAAAAACTTCGCATTTTCATTCAAATTCTTCGCATCTTGCATCCATCCGTCTTTGAGTTCATTCGCATTTCATCGCATTAACTGAGAAATTAATCAGTTGTCTCATATTCGCATTTCAGTTGTTTGAGAAACCCACTTACGAACCCAAATGCGAAACCCACTGATTTCAAATGTGAACCAACCAAAAATCATCAACCACGTACTTGTGTCACCAAATGCGAACTGAATATCACCATTAAATTCTCCTCGCATTCATAGATGCGAACACAATCCAGATCTCCGACTCCAAGCTTGCGAAATCAAAATCAATTAACCTCAAACAAATCGTGAACTTCTTATGCGAACTGTTTTGACCCACAAAACCAAATGCGAACTCAATTGTTGTCATATGCGAACTGATTTCATAGATGCGAACACAATTGATTTCATATGCGAATCCACATCCATCGATATGAAACCAATACCAGTTACAAGCAATTAGTAGCAACCATCGATCCTCTAATTTTCAATTACTCAGCCTTCGCTTTTCATACAACCCGTCGACCCTGAAAAATCGATAAACACCAAATGTCTCATTTTTAGATCGATTTTCTGATTAAATGTCATATTTGAAGAATGATCGATTTTCTGATTAAATGACCCCATTTTGCGAAGTTGGACCACTTATATTATTTCTTGAAAAGATCAGGTGCCAAATGCGAAACTCTAAGCTTTCTTCCCCAATTCGCATTTATACATTAAAAACTTCGCATTTTCATTCAAATTCCCATCTTGCATCCATCCGTCTTTGAGTTCATTCGCATTTCATCGCATTAACTGAGAAATTAATCAGTTGTCTCATATTCGCATTTCAGTTGTTTGAGAAACCCACTTACGAACCCAAATGCGAAACCCACTGATTTCAAATGTGAACCAACCAAAAATCATCAACCACGTACTTGTGTCACCAAATGCGAACTGAATATCACCATTAAATTCTCCTCGCATTCCATAGATGCGAACACAATCCAGATCTCCGACTCCAAGCTTGCGAAATCAAAATCAATTAACCTCAAACAAATCGTGAACTTCTTATGCGAACTGTTTTGACCCACAAAACCAAATGCGAACTCAATTGATGTCATATGCGAACTGATTTCATAGATGCGAACACAATTGATTTCATATGCGAATCCACATCCATCGATATGAAACCAATACCAGTTACAAGCAATTAGTAGCAACCATCGATCCTCTAATTTTCAATTACTCAGCCTTCGCTTTTCATACAACCCGTCGACCCTGAAAAATCGATAAACACCAAATGTCTCATTTTTAGATCGATTTTCTGATTAAATGTCATATTTGAAGAATGATCGATTTTCTGATTAAATGACCCCATTTTGCGAAGTTGGACCACTTATATTATTTCTTGAAAAGATCAGGTGCCAAATGCGAAACTCTAAGCTTTCTTCCCCAATTCGCATTTATACATTAAAAACTTCGCATTTTCATTCAAATTCTTCGCATCTTGCATCCATCCGTCTTTGAGTTCATTCGCATTTCATCGCATTAACTGAGAAATTAATCAGTTGTCTCATATTCGCATTTCAGTTGTTTGAGAAACCCAGATACGAACCCAAATGCGAAACCCACTAATTTCAAATGCGAACCAACCAAAAATCATCAACCACGTACTTGTGTCACCAAATGCGAACTGAATATCACCATTAAATTCTCCTCGCATTCTATAGATGCGAACACAATCCAGATCTCCGACTCCAAGCTTGCGAAATCAAAATCAATTAACCTCAAACAAATCGTGAACTTCTTATGCGAACTGTTTTGACCCACAAAACCAAATGCGAACTCAATTTTGTCATATGCGAACTGATTTCATAGATGCGAACACAATTGATTTCATATGCGAATCCACATCCATCGATATGAAACCAATACCAGTTACAAGCAATTAGTAGCAACCATCGATCCTCTAATTTTCAATTACTCAGCCTTCGCTTTTCATACAACCCGTCGACCCTGAAAAATCGATAAACACCAAATGTCTCATTTTTAGATCGATTTTCTGATTAAATGTCATATTTGAAGAATGATCGATTTTCTGATTAAATGACCCCATTTTGCGAAGTTGGACCACTTATATTATTTCTTGAAAAGATCAGGTGCCAAATGCGAAACTCTAAGCTTTCTTCCCCAATTCGCATTTATACATTAAAAACTTCGCATTTTCATTCAAATTCCGCATCTTGCATCCATCCGTCTTTGAGTTCATTCGCATTTCATCGCATTAACTGAGAAATTAATCAGTTGTCTCATATTCGCATTTCAGTTGTTTGAGAAACCCACTTACGAACCCAAATGCGAAACCCACTGATTTCAAATGTGAACCAACCAAAAATCATCAACCACGTACTTGTGTCACCAAATGCGAACTGAATATCACCATTAAATTCTCCTCGCATTCCATAGATGCGAACACAATCCAGATCTCCGACTCCAAGCTTGCGAAATCAAAATCAATTAACCTCAAACAAATCGTGAACTTCTTATGCGAACTGTTTTGACCCACAAAACCAAATGCGAACTCAATTGATGTCATATGCGAACTGATTTCATAGATGCGAACACAATTGATTTCATATGCGAATCCACATCCATCGATATGAAACCAATACCAGTTACAAGCAATTAGTAGCAACCATCGATCCTCTAATTTTCAATTACTCAGCCTTCGCTTTTCATACAACCCGTCGACCCTGAAAAATCGATAAACACCAAATGTCTCATTTTTAGATCGATTTTCTGATTAAATGTCATATTTGAAGAATGATCGATTTTCTGATTAAATGACCCCATTTTGCGAAGTTGGACCACTTATATTATTTCTTGAAAAGATCAGGTGCCAAATGCGAAACTCTAAGCTTTCTTCCCCAATTCGCATTTATACATTAAAAACTTCGCATTTTCATTCAAATTCTTCGCATCTTGCATCCATCCGTCTTTGAGTTCATTCGCATTTCATCGCATTAACTGAGAAATTAATCAGTTGTCTCATATTCGCATTTCAGTTGTTTGAGAAACCCAGATACGAACCCAAATGCGAAACCCACTAATTTCAAATGCGAACCAACCAAAAATCATCAACCACGTACTTGTGTCACCAAATGCGAACTGAATATCACCATTAAATTCTCCTCGCATTCTATAGATGCGAACACAATCCAGATCTCCGACTCCAAGCTTGCGAAATCAAAATCAATTAACCTCAAACAAATCGTGAACTTCTTATGCGAACTGTTTTGACCCACAAAACCAAATGCGAACTCAATTGTTGTCATATGCGAACTGATTTCATAGATGCGAACACAATTGATTTCATATG